CTGACTAGCTCTAGGTCTTTGAGTATAGCTTTTGTGGTGGCATTGTTAGGTGCTTTCGCATCACCTCTGACTCGTAGTGGCCCTGTGTACAGGAGATAGAAACCTTGGTCAACCCTACACCATCCTTCCAGGCTCCACCATGCCCCTGGCTGCAGTCATGGTGCTAATCCCTCTCACGGAGGTTCTTCTCCTCTTTGGCTGACCCTCTATTGTTCCAAAGACTGGCCTAGTCTGGCCTGACAACTTGATTGACGTATGTGACACGGTCATCATCCTCATCTAAGGAGCACTCTGCTTGTACTTCTTCCAAGACAGGTTTGCTTGTTCTCTTGGCAGTCTAAAGAGTATTCACTACTCTTTGCATACACTACAATTCAAAGCATCAATTCTTCGATCTTTATTCATGTTCAATTTTCATTCATTTCGCGGACAAAGTAACTGAAAAGTACTGTCGCTTGGGTTAAGCATAGTCTTTAAATGGAAGTTTTTGTTTGTATACCCTTGAAAGAGGTCCATGGTGGCAGATATCCCCAATGCGGGACTTTTGATTTCTTGATTGTGGATTAATCAACAAGTAAAAATAAATCCTTGACAACTTCAGTCTCTCCTCCACCAGTCATGAAGTTTGCTCTTGCAAAAGTACACTAAGTGCCCTTAAGTCCTTTTCAAGCAAAGGGATGGGAGGACTACTGTCAGCACCAATTAGGATCATTATCCAGTTAATACTTAATAGACATTCCCTTGGGTTTTTCAGACACATGGAAAATACTGCCATTTTCCTCAATCCCTATGGTTTGTGTCATGTAAAAGCACATACTTTTGTGTCATCCAGTCTCAGTGCCCTATTTCTTCTTCATACAGTTCTCAAATTATTTGCTCAGTGCGTACAGATTAAGTTTGGTAAAAGGTTCCAACACCACCTGTGCCTTGGTCTACAGTCCAGTTTGGTATGTGCACAGTGAAATGTTCTAAATCTCTGTTTTTCTCAGTACTATGAATAACATACTGTGATCCACACTGTTGAATGCCTTCACATAGCCGACATAAAACACATAAACATCTTGGTACCTCTGCTTTCCACCAGATAATTTTCAGTTATGATATCCCTCATTCCACAGCCTCTTCCAAATCCAGCTTTCATTTCTGTCATTGTCCCCATTCCAGCAGGGTTTTTTGTTTTTGTTGTTGTTGTTGTTTGTTGTTTTTGTTTTTCGTAACCTTCAGCAATTTTTTTTAACTTGATTGTGATCATAGTGATACTGCTTCATAATCATTTTGGCAAAAAAAAACATGTTTACAAAAAGCTAGTTGTCTTAAATTAAGAAAAAAGCATTTGCAAGTACTGGCCATGTTCTTAATGTTACTGGTAAAATATCCCTGTGGTTCTAATTCACAGGTAGAATTATAGTTCACTTCTTCCTCTCAGTGTCCACTGTGCATCGGGTCTACCAAGACTTTTGGTTGGTTGGTTGCATGTGAGAGGTGAGCACATGCAATGTTGTCTTTGTGTCTGGGAAGCATAGATGAGGTCTGTATAGCTGGATTGAAGGACCTTAAGTAGGGTCAGGAGGAGTCTTTCCATTCTTGCAGATCCTAGACTCCCTACCTTGTCAGCTCCCTGTTAGCCCTGCGTGGGTCACGTGTTCAACTCTGTAATAATTGCAGGGTTAAAGGACAGGGTGCTTTTATTGGTAGACCTGATCATATACACTGTGTAGTAATTGACTGCACGTCAGTTGTGGTGGGGCAGTTCCCAGAGGAATCTGGACATTGAAAACCAAATGTCTTTTTTCTAATGACGATACCTGCACTCTGCTCTTAAGCCCTGCCTTACAGAAGGGATGGACAGTTGGAGGGGGAAATTTATCTTCTGCTTTCTGTCCCTAGCACAGAATATGCAAAATACAGGTTTCTCTAAGTATGATTGATTAATAGAAAAATGGGAGTCCCTTTGGTTTCTAGTAAATTGATTGTTCTTTTTAATTGCCATGAGCTGAAATAAATGTCTAGGGACTGACTTGAGAGAACTCTCCTTGATATTGAGGTAACAATGCTGAGCTTGTGGAAATTATCATTTTGACAGCCAAGGATTAAAAGAAAGGATTAGCTACTAAGAAATAAATTGAGGGCAGAGTAAGTGTTGGCCCCTTGTTCAAATTTCTGATTTCTTGCAGGAGGCCAGAATTAATTCAAGTAAAAATATTTAAACAATAATTAAAAATCCAATACGTGGCAACTCTCCATTCTCTGTTGTGTTTTGGGGGCTGTAAGTCTTTACAAAAACAGCCTGTCTTTGTCCCATGGCATGACTCTTGGATTCAAACTGCTGGCCTTGCCGTTAGCAGTGCAGTACACTGTGTGCTTTGCTACACTGCTGGACACCATAACAGTTTAACAGTTTGGAGCCAGCTTTAAAAGCAAGTAATAGACTTGAAAAACATGACTCCTTAAGGTCCTTTTTTTGATCACCTGTAATAAGTTGATCAAGAGTTTGTCTCAGGGACACTTTAGCTTCTCCCTGTGAAAAAACACACCAGAAAACCTCAAAGCACATTAGTAAGAAGTGGATCACAGTAGCTTGGAGAGGGAAGCTATGACCAGAGGATAGGTCTGAGAGACCCTCTTTGACTTACTCCCCTGGTTTTATATGCCTCTTTTGCCTCAGAAAAGTTTTTTTATCTAATTTTGCAAAGGGGAGAAAGGCCAAGAATCTTTGTGCACGATCTTGAGAATGTAAGCAGGTGTACCTCGCTCTCCTTGCTGTTGAGTCTGCACACTCCTAGCTGCCTCTCCAGTGGCCTTTCAGGAGGTGGAGTGCCAGTCTCTGTCCCGAGGAGTCCCTGTTGGGTTCAGACTGCCGGAGAGGCCCAGCTCAAGGTTAGTGGTGCCACCTGAGCTCGCTGCTAACAGAGCATAGCTCCACATGGACAGAGTCTTCACACGGGGCATAGAGAATCATTGTTTATAAAAACCCGTTTCATTTCGTCTAAATTAATAAACTCAGAGGCTCTTTGGCTAAAATACTACTTTTTTCCAAATATTCCATTTCCTGCAGATAATTTTCCTATGTCTTTTTCAGAATTGTAGTGGATTAGTTGGGTACTAGCCATCCAGTGAGATGTTTCATACATACATCTTAAGATGTATGTTAGCTGTGGTGTTTTTCATAGGAGAAAAGGTTTCCCTTTGCCCTGAGTTCTGGTTTATGACTTCCTATGGCTGTTTTTTATACAGATAAGCTGGTGATGACTACATTCCCATATTCTTTGCCTTAATTTGGCTGAGATAGTTGAACACTATCCTGGAATTGGGAGGGACAGCAAAAATGGCTGCCATCTGGGTATTCCTTTCTTTTTTTAAAGTGTGGCAGGGAGAGATTAACATGGAAAGTCTGCCATTTATAAGGAGCTCTGGTGGCTTAGTGGTAAGGAACTATGCTGCCAACCCACAGGCAGGTGGTTTGGATCCCCCAGCTACTCTGTAGGAGACAGATGGGCAGTCTCTCCTCATTCCGTTTACAGCCTCTGAAAACTCACAGAGGACAAGGAGTCACTTGTGACTTGACTGTATAGAGCAACAGCAAGAGTGTATGGCTCTGGTGATGTCTAGTCCACAGATGGTTGTACAACTGACCTGCACATCTGCAGAAGAAAGATGAGGAGTCTCGACTGTGGGGTTTACAGCCTCCACAAATCCATGAGTCAGTTGACTTGACAGCCTAAATGAGTGCAGAGTTTATGAAAAGTAGCTCTGTAGACCTGGTATCTGGGCCTACATTTTGTTGTTTGGTCTCTTCAAAATTGAGCTTTAGCACTCTCGGTTTTTAAAAAATATTTTCTATCAGATGGCTCTAGTTTGTGGAAACGGTTTTATTAAACCAATAGATTCTTTCTTAAAAACCTTTTTTTTAATGTCTGAAAATAATTTTGGTTAAAATTTCCACAAATAGAGGAATTGGCCTTGAGTGCCCGCCCATTCACTGTATGAGAAACAGCGTGAAGTCAGCTGGTGCCTTAGCAGTGTGCAGATTAGCCACATGGCAGAGAGGGCAGACGATGCCAGAGCCACTTGAGTATAAGTCTGATAATTTTTTGAATACTTTTTTTCCCTTTTGGTTAAAAGTTTATTACAGAAAAAAATTATTACGGGATAGTTTGAGACTTTCAAGGTCTGGTAACATACACAATTTCTAATTGGAATAGTACAGGTGGCAACATGACATTTTGTTTGGTTAGTTGAATAAATTGGCCTATGATGTGGTTTGCAAATGGTAGAGGAACAGCATTTATTGAAAAGAAAGTGACATTTGCCTGTGTTATATTTTAATAGCTGGTACTTTGGCTTTCGGAAATATTTTTTCTATGCTGAAATTTTTTTTTATTGTGTGATAGATCAGTCACTTCAGAAGCTGCTCAGTTTCTATTCATTTTCTTATTAAACACAAACTCTTGTTTGTGACTAACTTGAGAAAGTGGATCTGAACTTGGTTCTCCTGATACATGTAGCCTTTTCATTTGTCAGAAGGATTCCCTGTTTCTTTTTCATAAAGTCGGACATTATTACCATTTGTTGAGTTGCTGAGTGCCCGGCTCTGGCTCTTTTGTCTGTTGGAATTTCTTCGGCTCTGCATCCATCCATCATCCTAAATGTGTGCTTGTGTTCAGGTGCGGTTCTGACAGGGAGCTGAGTGAGACACACCCAGTAGGGGTTTAGTTTGGGGGATACACAGAAACTTGAGGATGTTTCTTTAAGAACACCAGAGCAAAAAGCAAGACAGTTCTTCCTCGATTTGTAGCACAACATTTCCTATTAAAAGTAGAAAAACTTGGCAAATGTGTCCTATGCAGAGCACAGTGGATAAGAATATCTCCCTTCCTACCTTTTTTTTGTTCAGGCTGGGCGAGAGCTTGTGATTGACCCTACCATCAGTGGAATTCGTAAATATTACAAACTTGTACATGTTTTGACTTGATTTAAATTTTTTTTCCCCAATAGAAACTATGTTCCAACTTCCTGTCAACAATCTTGGCAGTTTAAGAAAAGCCCGGAAAACTGTGAAAAAAATACTTAGTGACATTGGGTTGGAATACTGTAAAGAACATATAGAAGTAAGTAGCATGTCGTTTTTGTATTTTAACATGACTTAGCTTCTGTTACTTTGCGTCAGTGGCCAGGGTGGTTAATTCTTAGATGTGATTCTGAGTTTTCACCACAGCACCAGCTTCACCAGAGCTTTTTATGGTGAGCTTGACTTACACCTTCTCCGTAAAATAGACCTTTTCATCTCTGCATCCAGAAGCACAAGCAGCTACCATTGAGTTCCTTTTGTGTATCAGACATTGTACTAGGTGCTTTAAAGTTGTCTGCAAATTTAATCCTTACAACAGCCCCTGGGCAGATGTAGGAACTCTTTGTTTCCCATTTACAAATGCACGCTGTTGAGCATCACACAGCTCAGTGTGACAAAAGTCTGCTGGGCCCCCCATGCCTGCCTGTTGTGGTTGATCTGATGCTGAGGCTTCCATAGCGGTCCGGGTACTTAGTGTCTCTTTCTTGGAAAGCGAGTGAGCCTTTGTTGGCCCTTTTGGCCAGCCTTAGACTGTCATCTTTCCCTTGTATAACAGGTTAGACTTTACACACTTTTTTCCAGGCTTTTATTCTCTGAGCTTCATAACAGCCTGAGGGATAGCCAGTACTGTTGCCTCCTCCTTTTCCAGATCTCATTCATTGCCCCAGAAAGCCTCGGATTGAAAACAAAATTTTTAAATGGTTTCCTCTACTAGCCTTCAAGTTCCAGTTGCCCAAGGACCAGAGCTGCCTTGTTCATCCATGTATTTCCCCAGTAACAGTGCTTTGTACATAGTGCCTGCTCAGTCGGTGGTTCAGATTAGAAATGAAAAAGCACATTCATTGTACAATAGATTTTCTTTCCCTACGTCCCATTTATTATGATCTAGGGATATACCATGAAGACTACAGCTTCTCCAGAATGGGCTTTTCTGGTTAGATTGTCCCCAGTGTGGAAGCAGCCTCACCCCATGCATTCCCTCCCCATGTGCAGGTAGAACTGCCCTTAGAAAGCATTCCTCCATTCATAACTGCCTTTGGCAGACTGATCTTCTCAGGAACAGGGAAGGGAACCTTTCTATCCTGCCTTTGGTGTGTTCATGTATTTGATTTCCCCCACACTGAATTTGAATTCTTTGTGAGCAAGGACTAACTGACCCTAGTACTTTGTCTTCATAGTCTTTGGAGAGAAGAGAGGTGGGCCATTAGGTTTTGTGTGCATTTAACATCCTGCTTTTAGATTCTTTTGCCCCCTTTTTTGGGTTCTGAGATCCTGAATTTCCTTCCTGGTTACCAGTACAGTCTCCCACCCTAATCAAATGATACTGCTGTAGTCAAATATTGATACCTTACACTGTGTCAGTGTTAAGAACTGATGACTTGCCGTGTTCTAATGGAAAAATGTTGTAGTATTGCTATATGGCTGGTTTTTAACTTCTTTAACACTCCCAAGGTTTCCTTGGAAACCTGGCTGACCGTGAGGAGAATATTTAGTTGAAATAAAGTAATATTCACTGTGACTTCCATTTGCCCTTTTGTTTTTCCAAGTCTTATCACTCTTGGTTTAGTTATTGATATAGGGTTGGTTTTCCTGAGCCTTCCCCTAAGCCCTGGTTAAGTGGTAGGATTTATATATAAGGTTGGGGCAGCATGCTACCACTGTTGTTTTTGTAAATTTCTTTCACTGTTTTCTAGGATTTTAAACAGTTTGAACCTAATGATTTTTATTTGAAAAACACTACGTGGGAGGATGTAGGATTGTGGGACCCTTCACTTACAAAAAACCAGGTAAGTGGCACAGGAGACTTCCCCACATGGCAGGATTCTCAGAAATGCCATTCCACTCTAGGCTGAAGAATACAGTGTTTATAGCCCCCAGTCTAAAGCTGGAAATGTTATAATTGCTTATTATTTCATATTTTCCCAACTAGTTGAAAAAACCAGGAAGAACTTTTATCTGTCCTGTCAAAGGCAGTTTTGTTACTAAAAACTTCTGAAGCCTGTGCTATCTTCTTCCCAAACACTTTTACTCTTTTTCTGATGTTTTCTTGGCCAGGGTTGTTAATCTCAGTTTTCTCTGTGTTCTGTCTTTTTTTCCTGGGAGTGTGGGCAGACTGAAGTCTACTTCTATTTAAACTTTTTTTGTGTTGATGCCATACCTCTGTGAGAGGCCTGAGCCAGCACATTGGGAGGAGGGATAAGTGACAGCCTTGTTAAGAAAGGAGTGAAATTTGAATTTTCCGAGAATGCCATTAAATAGTCAAAGGTACCAACAAATAGTAGCCATGAAGGTGTGGAAAATATGGGGAGGGAGTTGTGGTATATAGGTTTTGTTTCCTTTTTCAATAAATGAGGCTCAAGTCAAATGTTCTTTTTTTAGTAGTGAGTGTAATTTTGTATTAATCTGTTGATACATTCTCAGAAGAAAATGGATACTTTTAACATCTGTATCAAATTTAGTATAAACGGTTTCTTTTTTCTTTTAATTGATGCTACAGGAAAAGATAATAGCAGTCTGAAAATGTGGAACACTTTTTAGCTAATTCTGTTTTCAGAATCTCGCAATGGGAAAGCAGGATGGAGTTTTAAAGAAAAGCAGAATATTTCCTTTGGGTTCAAACCAGTATCTGGACAGAAAATGGGCTTCTCGGACAAAAGCTAGTCTCTGGTTTTGAACCTTCATCAGAGAGCCTACTGCTCACATGTTCATGGTCATACTTCTGAATGTGCCTTTTTGTTATCAATATATTCTATCATTGTTTCATTTTTAACACCATGGACACCTTGGGATCTATGGGAAACTATTTCACTTCAATTGAATCAAAGCAGCTGTTACTTAATTACTTCTGTTGAAACTGCTCTTGATTGAGGGAGAACAGAAAGGCTCATACAAGAAAGTGACTTTTCAGACCAGTGGGGGATTTATCAGCAGTGAAATCTTAAAACAACTCTATACTGTACTTCAGAGAAAATGTGAGATTTTGAGGGTTGGATTTTTCCCTGTGGTAGAAGTTTCAAATGAAAGATGTATTATGTGTTTTTCTAGTTGTCTTAATTAAAACAAAATATCTGGCTCTGAAGTCTGCAGTAAATATGGAAGGTTTTGGGGTTTGTTTTTTGGAGGTTCCCCCTCCCCCCACTTTCTTGAGTCAGTAAATGACGATGATTTCACATAATTTAAAAGTCTTACTGTTTCTAACTATAATATGCTTATCTTGAAGCTGTTTCTCTTTGATTTGTCTAAAACCAGTCAATAAATATAACCAGTACTTTCTAAATACTATGGAAGAACTTATTATTTGGTTTTGGTTTGGTTTTGCCTTACAAAACGCAAATGAATAGTACTTCTTTAAAGCCTGAAGCTCTAGTCATAATTGGTAGTGAGTTGCACAACTAAGCTAGAGTTTCAAGTCCAAGGGAGAAAGATGGGCATAGACAGGTATAGTTGAGTTTGAGTTTAATAGAAAACCACTTTTGAGGTTTCCATTTCATCAATTAAACTGTTGCAAAAGGAGGGGAACATTTTACTGAAATCATTGCACCGCAGAGGTTAGTCTTTAAAATGACATCCTGAGGCTTTTTAGTGATGGATCTAGAACCTGTAATTGTCTGTGTGAAGTGGCATTCTCATACCAGTTTTTGTTTTTTCTTTAGGACTATCGGACAAAACCTTTTTGCTGCAGCGCTTGTCCATTCTCTTCAAAATTCTTCTCTGCCTACAAAAGTCATTTCCGGAATGTCCATAGTGAAGACTTTGAAAATAGGATCCTTCTTAATTGTCCCTACTGTACCTTCAATGCAGACAAAAAGACTTTGGAAACACACATTAAAATATTTCATGCTCCAAATGCCAGCGCACCAAGTAGCAGCCTCAGCACTTTCAAAGATAAAAACAAAAATGATGGCCTTAAACCTAAGCAGGCTGACAGCATAGAGCAAGCTGTTTATTACTGTAAGAAGTGCACTTACTGAGACCCCCTTTATGAAATAGTTAGGAAGCACATTTACAGGGAACATTTTCAACACGTGGCAGCACCTTACATAGCAAAGGCAGGTGAAAAATCACTCAACGGTGCAGTCCCCTTGGGCTCTAATGCCCGCGAAGAGGGCAGTATTCACTGCAAGCGATGCCTTTTCATGCCCAAGTCCTATGAAGCTTTGGTCCAACACGTCATTGAAGACCACGAACGCATAGGCTATCAGGTCACTGCCATGATTGGGCACACAAACGTGGTGGTTCCCCGATCTAAGCCTCTGATGCTCATTGCCCCCAAACCTCAAGAAAAGAAGGGCCTGGGACTTCCACCAAGAATTGGTTCCCTCGCTTCTGGAAATGTCCGATCTTTACCGTCACAGCAGATGGTGAATAGACTCTCAATACCAAAGCCTAACTTGAATTCTACAGGCGTCAACATGATGTCCAGTGTTCACCTCCAGCAGAACAACTATGGAGTCAAATCTGTAGGTCAGGTCTATGGCGTGGGTCAGTCAATGAGACTGGGTCTAGGTGGCAATGCACCAGTGTCCATTCCTCAGCAGTCTCGGTCTGTAAAGCAGTTACTTCCCTGTGGGAATGGAAGATCTTACGGGCTTGGATCAGAGCAGAGGTCCCAGGCACCAGCAAGATACTCTCTTCAGTCTTCTAATTCCCCTTCTCTCTCATCAGGCCAGTTAAAGTCTCCTCCCCTTCCCCAGTCACAGGCACCCAGAGTGTTAGGTCAGTCCAGTTCCAAACCCACCACGGCTGCCACTGGCCCGCCCCCAGCCAATACTTCCTCAACCCAAAAATGGAAAATATGTACAATCTGCAACGAGCTCTTTCCTGAAAATGTCTATAGTGTGCACTTCGAAAAAGAACATAAAGCTGAAAAGGTCCCAGCCGTAGCTAACTACATTATGAAAATACACAATTTTACTAGCAAATGTCTCTACTGTAATCGTTATTTGCCCACAGATACCTTGCTCAACCACATGTTAATTCATGGTCTGTCTTGTCCATACTGCCGTTCAACTTTCAATGATGTAGAAAAGATGGCGGCTCACATGCGGATGGTTCACATTGACGAAGAGATGGGACCGAAAACGGATTCGACTTTAAGTTTTGATTTGACATTGCAGCAGGGTAGTCACACTAACATCCATCTCCTCGTAACTACGTACAACCTGAGAGATGCCCCAGCTGAATCTGTTGCTTACCATGCCCAGAACACTCCTCCAGTCCCCCCAAAGCCTCAGCCAAAAGTTCAGGAAAAAGCAGATGTTCCTGTCAAAAGTTCACCTCAAGCTGCAGTGCCCTATAAAAAAGATGTTGGCAAAACCCTCTGCCCGCTTTGCTTTTCAATCCTGAAAGGACCCATATCTGACGCACTTGCCCATCATTTACGAGAGACACACCAAGTTATTCAGACAGTTCATCCAGTGGAGAAAAAGCTCACCTACAAATGCATCCATTGCCTTGGTGTGTACACCAGCAACATGACCGCCTCTACCATCACACTGCATCTGGTTCACTGCAGGGGTGTTGGCAAGACCCAGAATGGCCAGGAGAAGACCACCGCACCCTCTCGGCTTAACCAGTCTCCCGGCTTGGCACCTGTGAAGCGTACTTACGAGCAAATGGAGTTTCCCCTGCTGAAAAAGCGGAAGCTGGATGAGGATGTGGACTCCCCTGCCTTCTTTGAAGAAAAGCCTGAGGAGCCAGTTGTTTTGGCGTTAGACCCGAAGGGTCACGAGGATGATTCCTATGAAGCCAGGAAAAGCTTCCTAACAAAGTATTTCAACAAACAGCCCTATCCCACTAGGAGAGAAATTGAGAAGCTGGCGGCCAGTTTATGGTTATGGAAGAGTGACATTGCTTCCCATTTTAGTAACAAAAGAAAGAAGTGTGTCCGAGATTGTGAAAAGTACAAGCCTGGTGTCTTGCTGGGCTTTAATATGAAAGAATTAAACAAAGTCAAGCACGAGATGGATTTTGATGCAGAGTGGCTGTTTGAAAATCATGATGAGAAAGATTCCAGAGTCAATGCTAGTAAAACTGCTGACAAAAAGCTCAGCCTTGGGAAGGAAGAGGACAGTTCCTCAGACAGTTTTGAAAATTTAGAGGAAGAATCCAATGGAAGCGGTAGCCCTTTTGACCCTGTTTTTGAAGTTGAGCCTAAGCTTCCCAATGATAACCCAGAGGGACACAGAGCGAAGGTAATTCCTGAGGAGGCTTTAGAAGCTGAGGAGAAGCTCGACCAAAAAGAAGAGAATAGTTCAAAATACGAAACTCTTCATTTGACTGAGGAGCCAGCCAAACTCGTGCATGATTCTTCGGATAGTGAGGTTGACCAGGATGACGTCGTCGAGTGGAAAGATGGACCCTCTCCCTCTGAAAGCGGACCTGGTTCCCAGCAAGTGTCAGACTTTGAGGACAACACTTGTGAAATGAAACCAGGCACCTGGTCTGATGAGTCTTCCCAGAGTGAAGATGCAAGGAGCAGTAAGCCGGCTGCCAAAAAAAAGGCTCCCGTGCAGGGTGACAGAGAGCAGGTGAAGTGGAAGAATAGTTCCTATGGAAAAGTTGAAGGGTTTTGGTCCAAGGACCAGTCACAGTGGAAAAATGCATCTGAAAATGATGAGCGCTTGCCCACCCCACAGATTGAGTGGCAGAATAGCACAGTAGACAGTGAGGACGGAGAGCAGTTTGACAGCATGACGGATGGGGTAGCCGAGCCGATGCATGGCAGCTTGACCGGAGTCAAACTGAGCAGCCAACAGGCCTAGGTGCCACTGCCCCAGCCTTGAGGACATGCTGCTGCCGGATCTCTGGCCTCCTCTCGCCTGACAGCAACGCTATCTTCAAACTGGTACTGCCTTTTGAGTGCTGGGTCATAAGGCTTGTGTGGACGTGTGGCCGCTGCAGCCCCAGTGGTTATTTCTGAGTATATGACACATTGTTGGCTGACATTGCTTCAGCACCTGCTGTGACACATACAGTGACTAAATGTGAACATCCAATAGGCTGATGGCTCGAGTATGCTCATGGGGGAAAGCAGGGGTATGTTGTACCTGCCTTTTCAACATTTCTTTTCCTCTGTAAATGTTTGGTTGAATGTCTTTGAGGTGCGTTACATGATTCACATGGTAGTGTAGGGCCAACACACAAGCTACCACCAGTTCAATGTGTATAGTAGACTTTGGGGGAATCAAAATTTTTTTCATGTATTCATTCTGAATAGTTGAAATGTATATTTGTACAGTCTTTTAGACTTATTCAAGTGATGCTTATGATACTGTTATTGTGTACCCATCATAGATCTGTTTCTTTTTATTTTTTCCTTTTTTTTTCTTTTTTTTTTAGTGTTGCCCTTGCTGTGTAATAAATGCTCTATCTAGTTTACCTAGCAGAAGCTTGAAACTACGCTAGTATGGATCTTTGGACAGACTTAGTTTTTGCACATAACCTTGTACAATCTTGCAACAGAGGCCAGCAACATAAAGTATATATCTGGACTCTCTTGTATTATAAAATTTTTTTCTTGTTCTGAATATCCTTGACATTACAGCTGACAAACAAAACCTGGTATTTCAGATCTCTTTTCTGAAATCTTTTAAGCTAAAATCACCTGCAAGAATTGACTTTGCAGCTACTAACTTTGACACCTTTTCAATCTGTATAAAAGTGTGTTGTGTTCAAGCAGCCGACCAAGGAGTGCTGCCTTTTGGGTATTTAGTTTTATCTTTAGTTAAATACCACCTTGGTGCATTCATTTATCCATCTAATATATGACACACTGTTGTAGTATGTATAATTTTGTGATCTTTATTTCCCTTTGTATTCATTTTAAGCATCTAAATAAATTGCTGTATTGTGCTTAATGTAAATATTTGCTTTATTACACATGACAGTCCTGTGTCCACTACATCTTGTGCCATTTGATGCCTGGCTCTCTATCATCAGAGATGGAACCACAGTCACCAAGCAAATTTATGGAAACCCAAGATCTCCTATTTGCAGAAAGAAAATGCTTTCTCTCAAGGCACTTGATATGAAATCATTTTGATCTTTTCCTCCCTTCTCTCCCCCTCTAACTGCTAAACTAAATATTTTTGAGTTTTTCTATTCCCTTTTTGTTAAGGAGAAGAGCCTGCTTTTATATGTAAAATGTATTCATGATAAAAGGATGTAAACCTAAATTGGCGTCAATTTGCAAGCAGAATCTTAATGTTCTTCTAGATGAAGTAAATGTTAGTTTTCACCTTAAAATGGGAGCAATTGTACCAAACAGGCAACCACTGCCTTTGTTACAACACTCTTGACCATCTTGCTATTAAGGAAAACAGGCTTTGGAGAGCACTCGTTTGGAGGGCTGTCAGGACAGAAGTAGGTGGTATGCTCTGCATAGATCCACAGGAGTGGTTTGTTTTAAAGAGCAGACCATAAGGAGGCCAAATCCGGCCAGCGTTACCCACAGTACAAGAATGGGACGCTCCAACCCAATGCAGACTGGTCAGCTACCTCTCAGGAACCTCCCCTTAAAAAGTGGTTGATTTCCTTTCCAAAAGACCTGTCTTAGTAGTCCTTTTGTTACCTCAAAGAGATGACCATCCTCCCTCTGTAATATGCCGTTAAAACATTAAAAACAATATGGGAGGAAACTAGCAGACTAGGACTGTTAACCTATTTGTAAATGGCACAGAGCTCTGTTAACACCGATCCACTTGTACAGAGACCAGTGACGATTTAGGGCATGCTGTTGCCATATCAAGATGCTACAGATGACCAAGAGCTGTGGCGCTGAGGGGTCTCTTAGGGATGGAAATACCAGCTGCATTTAAGCCATCATGTTTGTTTGGAAGTTACTCTGCCTTTTACCGGTGGTTAAATCTTTGCCTGGGCCTAGAAGCCCTGCTTGGAGGACCAGTGAATTGTACACGGTAACAGGTGATAGAGCTCCTGTTTGGACAGCTGAGTTTGCTGCCGCACCTTGTGGAGTGTTGGGAATGTGCCGCCTTGGCATCCAGAGAAGGACTTGGCCACCTCAGGGTTGGAATTAAGAGATTCCCAACTGGAAATGTTGCAAAAGCCCTAAAAGTGTCTCAATAAAAGCCATTTTAAAAGAATGTTGTTGCTACTGTTTGCTTTCGGAAATAACACGAAAAATCACTGAGGAGTCGTGGCATGCTGCCACCTTCTAATTAGAGACTGTAACTAGGCTGAGCAGTTGTTCTGTACCGCTCTCCTGCAGCAAGGCAGACCCAGCAGCGCCTTGTTCCAGAGAGAACTTGCTGTTTGTCCCTCGCTAGCATACAGCATTTCCATACCTCATCTTTGGTTCTAGAAATTGATGGCTACAGGCAACTTTTTAAATTTTTCCTTTTTTCTTTTATTATTTTGTGCATGTACCGTCAAATCAGATCTGACTGGTACAGGAGGAGATTGCCCCTCCTTCTCCAGCAGAGCATCTGGTGGATTTTGAACCACATACCTCTGGGATTGCAGTGCGGCTTCTTGCCACTAGGCCACCAGAGCTCCCTGGCAACTTTTTCAAGTACCCTTTATTGCCTTGGAGTTGCACAGGTCCAGATGCTTGTGGGTTCAGAAAGATGCATGCTATTTCAGAAACACGTGCCAGATTTGAAGACTGCATTGGTTTTGCTGCAGGTTGGAAACTTCCTAATAGTGGAAGGGATTAACCTGCAGTTTATCAAGAAGAGTAGTTCCTCCTCAGACATCTGCAACTCAACGTGAGTCTGCCCCTTGTCAGATTCCTCAAGCAAGGTAAGCAGGTTTGTGTTTATAATCGGGAGTGAAGGATTCCATGTTTTTCACCACATCAAAGTTTGTGCTGCTAGGGAAAGCTGGTGTCGGGCTCCACCCCACGGCCCCTTCCAGAATGAAAGCCTCTTTGCAAGTTCACAATCCCTAATGGGGCAGAGTACACAGTAAACATGGACTTGGCTTGTGCTTATTTGCAGAAAGCTGCCAGGTGGGGCACCCGATTTCCCAGCACATTTTACCAACGATTGCGTCTGAGGTAGCATGTTCGTGCACTTAGGAAGGCGTAGACCTTCACTGATCTTCACTGGCTGGGCTGGTATCTGTTGCATGCGTGTTTGACCAAAGTGTAATCTTCATGTATTAACTGATTAAATCCCAGAAGTGTGGAACTAACGTCGCTGCTCCTATCGTTCTGAAGGATAGTATAACAGCTCTTGACATGAGATGATAAAATAGCCATTTCTAACAGCAACTGGCTGATGCTCTGGCAGGCACCTGAGATGCTGCCCACCTGAAGGTACGCAGTTTGAGTCCACTAACTGCTCTTGCAAAGCCCACTGGAGGGGCAGCTCTGAGCTCCAGTTAGGACATCAGACACCAGCAACTAGGAGAAAGCCAGAAATTGTCCCAAACCTGCACCTAAAGAGGGTCGCCAACTTGGTGGTTTTCTGGCATCCTTGTACTTCCAGTTCACTGTAGTGTGACCACATATCTTCCACCTTAACTGGGGTAATGCTCAAAAGCCATAAAATGAACTCAAAATTACTCCTGGAAAATCCCAAACTCTGGATTTCACAGTCCGACTAATAGCGTGTGGGGGCCAGTGGGGAGTCTGCAGTGTTCCCCAGGACAGCAGCGGAGAGAAAAGGACAGTCTAATATGCTGTTGCATTTCGTGGTGTGTGTGCTGAGTACAGTGTCCATGCATCTGTGATGCTAATCCTTGCCACAGGCTACCTACTATGTTTGAAACGTGTGAATCCAATTAAACCTATGCTTTTTTTTTCTTTGCATTCCCAAACCTTTTTATATTGGCCTTTATGTCTTACTGAATGACAAAACCAGCATCCTAATAACGCAAACTGGACACCTTTTGAAAGTTAACAAAGCAAGCAGCCAGTTTCCTGGTAGAAATTAAAGGGCTTTTCCGATGTACTGGATGTAAGCACTGTACTAGCTGCCATTTGACCACAGCAGAATGTGGCAGCTCTGTGTGTCCAGGAAGCAGCCATCTGGGAGTTAAACATTAAACCCTGCCTTGGAGAGCACTGAAGGGGGAAGCAGGACGGCTGCGTGAGGTGCACATAGTCTGCCTGCCAAGCTGGACAGCATCCCAGGGGAGAGGACTTGAGGAGCCCTAAACCCAAGACCCTCCTCAAAGAGGTGTCCTCTGAACAATAGGCTTGACTTACAAGTGTGCAGCATTTTTCCTAAACACCCAGAGCTCAAGGCGTACCAATGAACACATAGCTACTCAACAGGTGTTTTCAGACCATCACTGAAATGTAGTTGTGCAGACTAGGACACTAGACTCCAGGATATTTGGAATCTTCAAAATAGTCCTGCCCTGTTCCACCCTCCCAAAAAAATACTTCTTTAGTGATTTCACATGAAAGGCCAGAGAAGTCAAGCCGTTTGTCCAAGATCCTAGCAGGCAAAAGTAGATGTGCTGACTTGAAGCAGGATACTGGCTTCCACAGCCATTGGTACCCCCTGCTATGCCATGCAGCCTTTTCCTGACTGAAGAATAAGCTCTTCAAAGAGGGTTCCCTGGCTGTGAATGCTGAGACCTCTGGTCCCTTAAACCAACACATGGTACTTCCCCTGGCACGCACATCAGGATGACCCCCCACCCCCCGATCTGTCTAGCAACTATTATTTTCATAGTGTTTCAACTCCCCTGTTAATAAAAAGAAAACTTCCTTTTTTAAAAAAAGGAAGAACCAGTATATAATTTGTCATTAATGGAAGGTGATCATAAAAACCAATACAAGAAAAAAATG